TTTGTCTTTAAAAAAGACAGAATTTCCTCACGTCTTTTATTACAGATTGATAAATAGTGCAAGAGCACTGTTTATCAATCTGTAATAAAAGACGTAAGGAAATTCTGTCTTTTTTAAAGACAAACATTTTTGAGGCGAAATACCCAACAGGCAGTTTGTAAAAAAATTAAACTAGTAGTTTTGATAGCATTTAAGGGAATAAAGCCATTGATAGTTTTCAATGCACTCATTATTATCTGCTTTCAGCGTCCTTCAAGTCCACAAATGCGCCAGTTGTCTTTAGGAAACATGTTTGTTTTCCGGTTTCGCAATTGATAGCAATAATCCCATTCTCGTTAACTGAGTGCGGGCAAATCAATCAAACATTCCGATTACAGCTTAGTTGGAAAATTGGATTGCAAATACGCGCCTCTTTTAGTATCTAGATGAACCCCCGATATTTACACACCAAATTATTGGCGATTAATTCAAGCAGATTAATCTGGGCGAAAGAAGCCAAATTCGATTCTAATCGCTTTCAACAGGATAATTGGTAGTAATGCGGAAATTCGTGCTGGTTTTGTGTGTTCTGGTTGTACTGGGCACTTTGCGGGGGATTAGTTGCACAACCTTAACATGGGAAGAGTTTGTCGATATGGTAAGAAGGCGCCCGATGCCTGGTAAGTCCCCCAACGGAAAAAGTAAGTAGGCACAGTGGCAATGCGGAAATGTTGCAGAAAAGTACGAGTTCATCAGGGATAACTATCTAAGAGGCTACGAGCTGGCGCGCAAAAAACCGGAAGATATCCAGGTCAGTAGGACGGTGAAAAACTTTTTAGGAATTTTTCAAAACCTGTCGATATTTCCCTCATTAGCAGAGCTGAATGATTTCGGGAGGTTGCATTAGATCGGGGAAAGTCATCTTTATGAACTCGGAAAGTTTCAATTTGGCGCAGTCATCGGCAACTGTTCGGAACTGGTCAATTTTTGGCAGGCTTGTTTGAAAATTTTCCCGGCATCCCGGCACTAGATACAGAAAAGTGTCAATTTGCCAGCATCATCAGAAACTCTTAGGGATTTTTTCGAAATTCAACTTTTAACGAGCGTTTTCGTTATATTTGAAAATTCATAGTTCCGATACAAAAGGAGCTGTGAACTTCCGCAAAGTTGTATTAAATTGAGAAAAGTCGCGTGCATGAAATGTGAAAGTTTCAATTCGGCGCCATCATCAGGAAATTTTGGGAAATTTTCCGTAACTGGGCAATTTTTAGAAAGCGTTTTTGGACGGTTATGTTTAAAAATTCATACTGTCAGTACCAATTGAGCTGGGAGCTTCGCAACGTTCTAATAGATCCAGGAAAGTCACCTGTATGAAGTGTGGAAGTTTCAGTTCAGTGCCACCATCATCAGGAATTGGGGAATTTTTCAAAACTGGTCGCTTTTCACCTGCGTTTTCGTAGGCTTTTGTTTGAAAATTCATATTTCAGGGGTCAACCAGGCCTCGTTAGATAAAAAAATCTGACTTTGTTTCCATGTAGGCCTTCATCTTCATTTTCTCCCAGAAGAAGAAACTTCCCGCCAATTTTAGTGTCCTGATTGGTTGAGTTTGTCTCAACTTTGCTTTTGTTGTCGATTTCAGTGGATTTCCTCGATCGGTTTGTTTGCTTATAATTTTTATTTAACCGTCGATTTTTACCAATTTTTTATTTTTTTGACTTCATGCGTCTACTCCTTCATTTACTTATTATACGTTACAACTTTTAGTTGTTCCGGTAAGTTATTCACACTAGTAGACGTTTCGCCTATTTGCATAGGCTTCCTCAGGATACTGCTATATTGTATTCTCTGATTTAAGGAGGAAGTTTATATAAATAGACGAAACGTCAAGTGTGAACCCTACTTGCGCCCCAAGAGAGAAGAACCGAACGTAAAGATGAAGCAGAAGGAGATAAAGGTATTGCTTCAAACAGTTAGAGTGAGAGGAGATTTCGTTTGAAAATTGTTTCTCAATTCAAAATTTGTTTCTCAATTTTTCTCGCTTTTTATTTATTGATTGGTTATATTACTGGCACTAATTGCTCTTTCACTAGGTGCTGGATCGGGAAAGCGAGCTGGCCTTAGAAATGTTCCAATTGGTGATTCGAAAGGAAACCCGCAATAGTAAGGAGGACGTTGAGCGCCTACTTACCATGTCAACCATTTGCTTCCCCTTACCAATCGGTTGCATCGACCCAGGCGATTCAGGGCTTCGCCCCATGCAAATTATGTTTTAAGTAATTTTGTGCATTTTAACAATAGACTGAGTAATTTTGTATATTTTGACAATAAATGTCTCACCTCCCAAACTCCCTTTTCCCAATTACGTTTACTCAGAAATTCCTAACCTTTAAAGAGGGAGAAGCACAAATGTGATCGCAAACAAGTCTGCCGAAGTTCAACAGCTCGTGTCTCGAAAATGGTTGAAAATCGCTCACAAATCAATAGAATCTTTTCTAAAGAGCGCCTCATAAGCTTTCTTTTCCTTATTAGGTTTATTCACAAATTCCTAACCTGTAAAGAGTGAGAGGCACAAATATGATCGCAAACAAGTCTGCAGAAGTTCAACAACTCATAGCTCGGAAAGGGTTGAAAATCTGTAACAAATCAATAGAATCTTTTCTAAAGAGCGCCTCACAAACTTTCTTTTCCTTATTAGGTTTACTCACAAATTCCTAACCTGTAAAGAGTGAGACGCACAAATATGATCGCAAACAAGTCTGCTGAAGTTCAACAACTGATATCTCGAAAAGGGTTGAAAATCTGTCACAAATCAATAGAATCTTTTCTAAAGAGCGCCTCATAAGCTTTCTTTTCCTCATTAGGTTTACTCACAAATTCCTAACCTGTAAAGAGTGAGAAGCACAAATATGATAGCAAACAAGTCTGCAGAAGTTCAACAACTCATATCTCGGAAAGGGTTAAAAATCTGTAACAAATCAATAGAATATTTTCTAAAGAGCGCCTCACAAACTTTCTTTTCCTTATTAGGTTTACTTACAAATTCCTAACCTGTAAAGAGTGAGGAGCACAAATGTGATCGCAAACAAGTCTGCAGAAGTTCAACAACTCATATCTCGGAAAGGGTTGAAAATCTGTCACAAATCAATAGAATCTTTTCGAAAGGGCGCCTCATAAACTTTCTTTTCCTTATTAGGTTTACTCACAAATTCCTAACCTTTAAAGAGTAAGAAGCACAAACATGAGATCATGCAAGTCTGCGAAAGGTTCCACAGCTTGAAAACCTTCAGTTGTTTAAAGTATATAGAATATAGGATTAAATTGCGGTAAATTAAACAAAAAACTTCTCATTGGACCGTTGTTTTATTAAACAGCATCACTGATCAGCTTAACTTATAAATAAATATTATTATAAACATTTTCCGAAACCTTAAAGCTTGTCAGCTTTAGATGATATCGAGCTCTAGTCGCTTAACTCTGTACTTAAGTGCTAACTTAACCTAAAACGTTTGAGGATAAGTATACTTAGTCTAAGACGGGCGGAAAAATAATCTGTTGACTTATCAGCTGAAAACTTCTGGAAAGAATCGGGAATGGCTGATATGGCTAATATTCCCCTGATGAAGTTAAAGTTCTTGTATGAAACGGACGTATTTATGCAACTTTTCGGTACTTTCGGCAAAAGTCTTGCCTATTTTAATACAGGGTGTCTCAAGCGGAGAAAGGGGATTCCATTTCAGTGCCCAACTTGCAGAAACGCCCTGTATATATGCCAACACCCCTGAAAGGGGTTTTCAACCGTTTAAGTCCAACCGTTTTAGTTTGTATACATATATTTAAGGAAAATCACAGGTTCTAATGGATTATCTTACATGGTCAAATGGAGCGTTTTGGAGGCGTTTGCCTCCGCCCCAATTCACTCCACATACACAATTAAAAAACATTTATTGATAGTGAATTATTGTTAAAAACCGTCTAAATTAGTCGACGTGAATCGTCTTTGACCCTTGATCCGATAAAGCTAGTCTATACGTATAAAACACGTAGAAAAGAACGGAAATCCCTTACGAAGGAACCCTCTTACCCTAAATTTGGACCCTCGTTAAACAGTTTAGGACACATTACACTCGTTCACCTGTGCGTCACGTATTTGCTGTTTTGTTTTCCTGCTGGCTCGACGAATCAGCGAGCGGGAGCGCGGTTTAGACGGTTGAATTCCCTCTAAGCATCCCGATCCTGCAATAAAAGGGACTTCCAAGGGGATTTTATCGACTCAATCGGGCGGGATAGGGAAGTGAACGGTCGAACAATAAAAGCAAATAAATAGCTACTTTACTGTGCCAATCAAACACAGAGAATGGATCAATGGATTAGCGGAAAAAATCGCGAATCTGCTTACCCGATCCAGACGCTTTGTCTGCTTCAAGTAGCGGGCTCTCCGCCCTTCTTCGATCTTTACTAGTAGCCGAAACGTAGGCGCTGGATCTTCGCTTCAGGCCAGTGCCTGTATCGGATGGATCTTTTCTTGGCAGCAGTTTGGATAAGGTGAGAAGTGAGCGGAAGATTTCCTTGATGTTTATGTCGTCTTTGGCTGAGCATTCTAACACTTTCACTCTGGAACAACATCAGAAGTCATTTTTTGGGTCCTTGGAAGTTTTTAAATGAGTTTTAAAGACGATCTCAAGGGGTTTTTCTGTTCCAGATTTCATTTAAATCGCTCAAGCGGTTCGAGCGTTTTAAGGGCGCAAGTGCATGAGTGAGCGGCGTAAGAAAATTGTTTTTAGCTTCGAAGATATTCAGGATTTTTTTAAACTTCCTCAGGGGCTTTGATTCAAAAACGGTTCTTTGGGGGGTTTTGAAAATATCCCTACCGGAAAGCTTGAAACAGCTGGACATTTTAGCAAGAATGCGTTTGTTCGGCAAAACACGTCGTTTTGCAGGAACGTAATAAAATGCGAAAAATTAGCAAACATTTTGATGGTTTAATTTTTCTTCGGTTTTTAACATTTCCTGAATACAGCATTGGATCTACTCAAACTACATGGCAGGCAGCTTTCAACTGTTTTGAAAGGAAATAATTGCTGGAGTTATAGACAAAAGATGAACGCTCCACAGGCTTTTACGGGAGCTAAAACTGCAAACTTCCATAAAACTTCCAAATCGCCTTCAAATGAGCCCATTTTCACCCAGGCAGCTTTTCGTAGTTGCCTGTGCTCTTTCACGGGCAATTAAACTCAATTTCGTCAGCGCAAAAAATTCCGGTTGAACCCACGTGCAAACATTTCATCAAAACGGCAAAAATCGTCAATATCTCCCTAATTAGTCACTTTAGAGAAAAAGTCAATTGAACCTTTTTCGTCCAGATTGACCGCCTCTATGAAGTGGCGTGCCTTGAACTTGTCGATTGTTCCGAATTTTGCAGATATTCAGAATTTTTTGAAAATTATTTCCTTGGCATTTTTACAAACAGTATAGATGCGGTAATTTCAAAAACATCATGAGTGCTTAGCTCTGCATATAAGGAACATTTTATAAAGAATAAGTTTTTTTGAAATGACGCTTCCTTTTTCTGAAAAAAAATTAAACGGGAAAAATTTGTGAATTCAGATTTTTTACACGTGGGGTGCAAAAATGTCCTGGAAACGCCAAAAATTGTTAATAGCTCCTTAATTAGTCACTTTAGAGAAAAAGTCAATTGAACCTTTTTCGTCCAGATTGACCGCCTCTATGAAGTGGCGTGCCTTGAACTTGTCGATTGTTCCGAATTTTGCAGATATTCAGGATTTTTTGAAAATTATTTCCTTGGCATTTTTACAAAAAGTATAGATGCGGTAATTTCAAAAACATCATGAGTGCTTAGCTCTGCACATAAGGAACATTTTATAAAGAATACGTTTTTTTTGAAATGACGCTTCCTTTTTCTGAAAAAAAATTAAACGAAAAAAATTTGTGAAATGAGATTTTTTGCACGTGGGGTGCAAACAATTTCTGGAAACGCCAAAAATTGTTAATACCTCCTTAATTAGTCACTTTAGAGAAAAAGTTAATTGAACCTTTTTCGTCCAGATTGACCGCATCTATGAAGTGGCGTGCCCTGGACTTGCCAATTGTTCCGAATTTTGCAGATATTCAGGATTTTCTGAAAATCATTTACTTCGCAGTTTTTCAAAAACCATGGATGCAGCTGTTTGCAAAATACCCCGAGCGCTTAGCTCTGCCCATAAGGGACATTTTATAAAGAACAACTTTTTTTCATACGACGCTTCGTTTTTGAGGAAAAAAATGAAACGTGAAAAATTTATGAAGTGAGAGTTTTTGCGATGAAATTCTGTTTTGCGATAAAACAAAGTTTTTGATCAGGACATTGGACTCACTGAAACCACAAGTGAGTCATTTTTACAGAGGCTATTTTTTACATATGTATAAGAGAATTGCACGGAATTAGGCATTAGCGAAAAAATACCCACGTGCAAAAAGCCAAAAAATCTCCAAAAACTCCCTAATTATTCAGTTTACAAAAAGGTTAATTTTTGTGAATATTAACCGCCTCTATCCAGTGGCGTACAACGGATTTCTTCATCCTTTTGCCTTTTGGAGATATTCAGGATTTTTGAATGGCCCTGATTTAACATTTTCTGTAAAACCGTTCATATCGGGGATTCTAAAASATTCTCCTCAGATAGTGCGATGCATGCCAAACGTTTYATAAAGAATACCATTTTTTGATARGACGCTTCCTTTTTGAGAAAAACTATTAAGTCTGAAAAACAAGTGAAGCCCCCGACGACTTTTTTTCAGCCGAGAAATTTGCAAAGAAAAACGTTTTGTTTTCTCTCAAAGTTCACAGGGCAAGTATCCGATCGTTTGATCGCAAACTACATAACAGGCAGTTTCCAGTTGGCTTTTTAGAAAAAATCTTTGTGCTACGAGGGACAGAAGGCAAACGTGATACGGGCTTTTACGAGAGCTGAAACTTAAAAATAGCCAATATCTCCCTAATTCTTCGCCTTA